TTGACATGTATGAATAATTTATTGGGCTTAAAAAAACGTGTCAAATTCAGTTATAGCCATAAATAGTTGGTGGCCAGTCGATGAACAATTCGAAACTCAGGATTCACACGGAAGTTCTTCAGGGCTGAAAATTATCGACCCTACTCTGTTTTACTTTATTTCACAACTTGCAGTGAAGATTCGCCTAGTATTTTCTTTTTGAACTGACGTCAAATTCCATCCGTTTGTCAAAATATACCGATGTTTTTCTGTGAATAATTTTGAAGCCTGTCACAGCACAAAAAAAACTATGTGAATCGACGCCGGAGATTTGATGGTACGACGACCCTTCAATTAGCGTCAAATATGCTTTGTTGCAACATCATTGAATGGCTGAAAGTCACATGATCGGAGCACGACCTGGGTCACAGAACCATATTTGTCCGTATTATCAACATGATCTCGCAAAAGAGCCACACCCACATTTTCAATCTTTTTTAAGTTGCCAACAAATGTAAAAAAAAAACTAGTGAATTTCATGGATTCGAATAAAATAAAGCAAGCGATTGATAAGAATGATTATTAATATTTTCCCTGATGCTCTTCGATTTTTGTTCACGGTAAGAAATGGCTAGTTGAAGTTGCATCATCTTCAAGGCGGCTGTTACACCGCGAACAACTCTAGCTCTGTTGTAGTTTTGCGATGTAAAATAAAATATATATCATGGTAATAATACTTGTTTAATTATTTGGAGTTTCAGCCCACAAATTACGGACATGATCCCCGTGAATTACGGTCAATGTTTGTCCTGTCTCGGCTGATTGTGTTGATCGACGCCCTTCCTAAACTCGGTATTGAGAAACCAACGAGGATCGACATTCCAAACAAATTATTGGGACACGGTCGACAGACATTCCAAACGAGATTTTTCTAGATATTTACAAACATACTGTCATGACAAACATATGTAAAATTAACAAATACACAAAGCGGTGTAATATTAGGTTTTATTTTAGTCTTAGAAATATTTTCTTTCACTCAGCCCATGCATGGAACTGCCATTTAGCTTCATGGTCCTTCAGCTTGTCAAAACAACAATAATTATACAAAACACATTGCGAAGACTCAACAATCAGGAAAGAAAACCCATACAATCATGTCGTACTTGTATTGAAACACATTTTGTATTTCACGTCAGAATATTGTTTAAAATAAAATATTCAGTCCAAGCCAAATCTAGGTCAAAGGGTCAGATTGCGTGCATATAATTATAGATAATTGAACGAAAAGTATTTCAAATTTTGTCAGCTGTTCAACATCTATAAAAACCAGAAAGACAATTATAAGACAATGTGAACCTCGGAAAATTTTCTGTTAGTCCGATTTTTAAATGCGCGCGAACGAGCGGTGATATTTCGGGGTTTCCGCGGTCGAAAATAAAGCGGAAATTGCCCCGTCGAATTAAACAAGCGGTCGCAAAAGCGAGAGAAAAAGGTGAGTGGAAAGCAGAAGCGGGCGTGAGGTTGTGCGAAATGAGTACTGGAACTTTGCGAAAATCGTTTTATTTTCCAAGTCAATATTCTATTTTACTAATACAATTTTTTCTAACGCAATGGCGTTGACAGACGATGCAAAGAAAAATCTGCCACTCAGTGTCGCGCTCTGACACAGCAATTTTTTTTTTCAAACATCGGCCATTTTGTTTCACCATGAAAACCGTTTTATTAGATCTCTTATCAGAGACACTTGAAGGATTAGCTTGTTTGTAAAATGTCAGCGTGTACAGTGGGACAGTAATGTTTGTCAGAGGATTATCCCTCGTTGTTCGTTTGCATAACAATGGAAACCCGAACGTTCCCGGAGTACGGACACAAATGCCAGCAGTTTTCTTCATTTTTCACGCTCGAGCTTGAAATTATTCATTATCTGACACTCTTTATGAGTTCTATGATATCAGTGGTTAATATGTTTGGCCATTTTTAGTGTATATTTATAATAATGCAGCAAATCTACTGTGTTTTATTAACCAAAACTGTTTTCCCGTTTTTCTCGAGTTGAAGTTTTGATTGAGTACG